TCAGGAGAATGTTTTTAGGGGTTCTTCTGGTTCAATCATACAGCTGTAGTTGATTTTCGTGTCAGGTTTGTTGGGATTTTTTAATTCTATAAATACTACTCTTTAAAAATCAACCACAGCAACAGAAAAAAACGTTTTAATTCACTTGGCATTTGTAAAATTGTTTTCAAGAAAATGCTCTTGATAGCAGCTCCTCAGTAATGTCTTAGTATCATTACTATGCTTCCAGCTTCCAAAATATTTTACAAATGTTAAGAGTTCTGAGCCAGAGGAGTTAGTATGTCTTGTGCCTTCCACATGTATAAATGGTATTTGTATTCTTCATGGATATAGACACACAGAAAATGTTGAATTACCTGCAAAATATCACAACTCAGATGGTGATACTGGACTGGAGTCACCTTGTTTGCACAGTTGCTTGCATTATTTGCCATTCTGCATGTCCAGTTCTGTTGGGGTGCACTTGTAGTTGGACCTGCTTGTAAGCCTTTTTTAATGGTGCTTTTTACTTTTCAATTAGGCCTCCGATTTTTAGTTCGTCTCTGTACAGATATGGGGCTGAAGGAAGTCCAGGAATATATAACAAAGCTCAAGAAAGTGGAAAAATTAAAAGAAATAAGAGAGCAGGTAAGTACATAAATGAAGCTAAAATAGTGTTTATTTTACTTCAAGGTAGAATGTGTTATTAATTTCCTGGTTTAGAGAGACTTATGTTTTGAGGTTTGGGGAGTTTAGTTTTAAATTACTGATCAGTCTTATATCTGTCTGAATAGTTTTTGAGTACCAGATTTTCTGTGATTTTTAATACTAGTGAAAGATGGACTATGTGGATGTGGTGGGAATGCTGGAGCCACTTGCATAATTCAATGTCTCTGGAATGTCATCTTTCCTACCTACTTGCTAGATTTCATTTAATACTTTAGTGTACTTATGAGCCAAGTAATAATGCAACTATAGGGAGAGATAGGGAGCCTAAGAATTTGCCTTTTTCTTATATGCAAAGCTGCAACATTGACAGATCACATAGGTAGACGTAAACTATTTGTATTAGTACCAATTTTTAAACTGAAAAAAAATGCATGGAACAGCAACAGGCTGTGAAAGGTATGAGATCATAACTTGTCTTCTGTTCAGAAGAGTGAGCTCACATTTGTGTGTGTGTGCACTCGTGCATTGTTTTCTTGCTATTCTGGTGATAAAGTAAGATTTTAAAATGAAAAACAGCTGCTTGTTTGAAAAGCAGTACCCGTGCTGTTGAGCTGCAAAGTGTTCAAGTTTGCTTTTCCTATTGCCTCAGAGCTACATAGTCACATTAGGACACGTTAAGTCTTAACTAATTTTCTGTGCTCCTAGTAACACTTACTGGGTCCCCTTTGATTCCAGATAATGTGTACATGCATCCTTAGATACTTTTACTTAAATTCCAGGGAGTCTGAGTATGCACGTGAACACTAGGACATTCTAAAAATGAAACTCACAAAGGGAAACACTGATCAAAGGATTCCAGCTTTATGCTACAACCATACTTTGAAGGACTAGCTGAAGTGTATTGGTTTGAATTTTCAGTAAATGTAAAATTTAAAGCACTTGTGAAAATGGACAAAAGAAGCAATCTGCAGCTGTAGTGGGATTAGTATTCCTCCATGTCTCTCCATAATCATATCAGTAAGCAAAACAGATGACCAGATATGTTTCTATTCTGCAAAACTCATAATTAAGAGATCTCTCTAAAGTGTGTTAAACAGGTTTTGCTTGGTTTCTAGTGAGTATCATTTCAATGTCAGTAATATACATAGCTCTTTGCAGTAACTTTCAATACCTCAGCACTTTACTTGGGAAAGCTCACCAATTAAGCCAGTTACAACTGGATTATTTTATAGTTCATAAGAGAGACAGAGGTCCCTGGAGACAGAGAGGCTCTCTATTTCCTTGCGTGTAATTCTGGCTTTTTTTTTTTACACTGAAAATGTTAATTATGTACCACAGATCTGCAAATGTCAAGGATTTTAAGGAAAACACCTTTTTTCCTTTCAGAAACTTAATGTTCGAATATGTTACAAAAAAAAAGTCATATCTCTTTCTGTTTATTTCACATTGGAAGTGGGAGATTTCCGAAACCATTTCTCTACTTTCTCGTGAGGAAAAAGCTACCAGTAGAATATTTAGAAGTTTTAATCATCTAAGTTACTTAAGATTTTAGTAACACAGAAATTACATTTAAATTATGGGGTTTTTTTCATTCTGACTTCATCGTGTTAAGGGAATTCGTACTTGTCATATCTGAATGCAGAGGTATCAGTGGAATCCAGTACAGATGCATGGTAGCACAAGTTACTGCATAGTAAAGGAACAAAGACTAAGAAAAGGTGTTTCAGAATGCACTGCAATTTAGTATGTGGCTGTCCTATATTAGAAGTTGAGTATCTCTGTGACAGAATCCCAACATCAGTGCTGTCTTGCAAACAATAGCCCTGCAGTTCCTTTTTTTTGTGATTGCATCCAGGTTCCATACCCTGGTTTTGGGTTGGAGATTTTTTTTTTCTTTCTTTGATTGGGGTCTGTGTGTGATTTTTTACTCTTATGTCTACCATCTGGCTTTGAAATTAATAGGGTTTTTTGTCCTAAGAATTTTCTTCTGTCGTCCATGACCATATAGTCATAAACTATACTGTCAAGTTCTAAAATTATCAAACCAAAATTTTAATATTTCACCACCTAAGTTTCCAATAGGAATACTGGTTTCAGTTAGCAGTACCAGATATAGTTCAATTCCTGCTCCCAGTTTCAGACTAAGCCATGATTTTTTGATTGCACCCAGTAAACACAAAATAGTTAAATGCTAGTATAGTATACCTGCATTTCAAAGTCTGCACACAGACTTTGTCTTCCTGTAGAAATTTATCAAAATTTGCTATTCTGGCATTGTTTTTCCAGAATAAGTACATCCACATGGAGTTTTTACCAAAATAAATATTCTGGAGTACTTATTTCCCTCACTTCTCAAATATGGACAAGTTGTTAAATACTTCCAGCCAAGAATCTGAGAACATCTGTGGAGTTCATTCCCTGTAGAAATTTTTCTCCCTGCCTCTCACAGCATTCAATTTTTACTGCAACCTTCCTATGTTGGGGCATTCTGGGGGGGATGTTGGGTTCGTTGTTTGGTTTTGGTTTGGTTTTTTGCTGCATTAATCTTCCCTTTTCATGTTTCAGTTTAAAAAGGACAGGTAATAGTGTAAAAGTTCACACAAGCTCCTTGGCACTGATGTATACACACATTACTACTTATTTCCATTAAGTGAGCTTAATGACTGAAAATGAGGGGCTGATGGGGTGTGCTGTAAAGCAGTGATGATAGGTGCAAATGCTGGCAGGGACTTACTGCCCTTACCTTCAGGCATCTACATCTGGGCTAACCATCCTAAATGTCTTTTGCAGTCATGGAAGAGAAACAGGCATTTTTAGGGTGGAAACCTATTTTGAATGTCTGCTTTTAGTATGAGATTACTTACAAACTACTCGCTTGGAACTTTACAGGAATTAATCATATGCTTAAGCTGTAGTACTGATGTAGTATTTTGGGAGTAAAGTCCTAGGATGTAAATGCCGAGAGGGCACTGTCATCTAGGGACTGCTTCCGTCTGGCAGTCAGAAGCTGAGCTTCCCCTGTCAGACTTGATGTCAGTCATTCAATGTTTGGAGAGTCTGAACATGCTTCCTGAAGGATTGATGTATGCTACTTCACTGGACTGTGAAAACGACATTTAATACAAAATTCAGAGAACATATTTTAGACTTGAGGATTTCCCAAAATAAATAAAAAGTATGCGAAATTCTAGTTCCAGACTAAATTGCTCCTAGACTAATCCTGGTTTCACACTAGGCTCAATGCTTTCCTGTCTGACTCCTGTGAGTTTTGATTTAAGAGTTCTTTCTTTTTCTGTTGGCATGAATCTTGAAAATTCTTTCACTTCTTTGGTACCATTCCAACTTTGCCAGACTCCATTATATTGTTCTGGTGAAAAATGAGTGAAGAAGCTTCAGTAATTGACCTGAAGACATGGTTAGGTAGTGTGCACGTGTGTTTTATTCAGATCCTGAAGTCATATTTTGAAATAAGATGCAGAGATACTTTATTAATATCTGAGTACTTTAAACACCAAGTTTTTGTACCTACCTATCAAAAAGTCCCTTGCTGAGATATATGTTCTTGTAATTGACAAGATGTATGCGTGAGAAATTCGGTGTTTTGCCAGGAGAAGCTGAGTCTGCCATGTCATACAGAGGTATTGTTTTGATAAACTGTTAAAGTTTTCAAATAACCCTTAAAAAAAACACAGCTGGAAGATGTTTATGGTACCTTCCTCTTTGCAAGAGAGCTGACTTTTTAAACACAGCTTTTAAAGCATTTACCTTCACCTTTATCTTGCATTTAACACTCAACAGCAAATTAAATTTTGCTGTGAAGTACAGTGCTGTGCCAAGAATTCAAAATCCAAGATCCATAGGGTGAATAGTTTTTTTATAGATTCCCGTACTTCTCCCCTTTGAGTCTTTACAATAATAAAATGCTTTTGGGATTTACAAGATGTTAATAGGCAGAGGCTACTTTGAACTCATGCAAGGAGGGCTATGTTGCCTGTTTTTTCAGCTGTACTTTACAAAGGAACATCTGAACTATTTTTATGCACATTCCTTGTATAAATTTTATCTGAAGAAAAATAATTTATCGAGATATTCTTTTTGAATTTCACAGAACTCTTGTTTTACGTAAACACTGGATTTAACAATGATTTTAAGGACAGTTTTGTATGTTGAAAAAACAGGGTTTATTAGTTGCAGTATAGTAAGTCTAGTTTAATGGTCTTCTACTGTTTATTAATAAGCTAAGTTGAATTTTCAATAATTATCTCTAGTATATATATATTACTAAATGGGGGTTATTGTTCTGTTCTTTTCAAACCTTTTTCACTGTTCCCCAGCGCATTAAGTCTGGCAGAGATGGCAGTGCACGTAACCGCAAAGAGGGAGGTGGTGGTAAGTACGCAAAGCCTCTGCTTAAATATGCAATTTGTCAGGATCCTAAAGAAAACAGTTTTTCTGAAAGTGTTTGTAAAGTCTCCTTACATTCTGAAATGCACACAAATATGCATTGAGCAATATGGAAGTACTTCACAAATTGTTTCAAACTTTTTGATTATCTCACTGCTGTATGAAACGACAACTTGTGCAGTAGCATGGATTTGGTCTAACATTTGTGTTTTATATACAGATATCAGGGTATTTCTAAGGCTAAATTTCTGCTTTTTTTCAGTACTGTGGACTTGAACATTTTTATCCCTCTAACTTGGTATTTGAACACTTTTATCCCGTTAACTGTGGAATATTTACTGTAAGGAATGATTTATGATAACAAAACAGAACACATAAGCCACAAAAACCAGGAATTCATTGTTTCTTTATTTAACACTGGGGAAAGGGAATTTTTCGCCCACCATCTAATCTACTATGTTAGGTGTTCGTTACAAGTTCGAGAGGCTGTTCTGTGCAACCAACTCCATAAGGATAACATACCCTTACTGTCTTTGAGTTCTTCCTTCCCCTTTTCCCAGTATAGCAGAAGTGAAGTACTAGAGTCTTCCCTAAAGGAAAGCTTGCTCACTGACTACTCAGCCTCTCTGATTCTATAGGTTTACAATGCTGACTTCCATAAATATAAAACTCGTGCAATGTAAGTCAGGAAACTGTCCTGCTTCATCTTTTCTGCACTAGGTAGCCTGCATATTGCAGAGCTAATGATTTTTTCCTCCCACTATTAAATCCGTGAAATGTTATTAATGTAAACCTAAATGTTCCCCACTGCCACTCTAAGAAAACTAGCAGACCTAAGGCTACTTCAGCCACCTGGACAAAAAAATCCATATTTTGACCCAAAAAGGAAATGGTTTCTTTGCATTGTGCTTTTAGTTTATCTTAATATCGATGGGTCTCATAAAAAGATATCCCCTATAAATTCTTGCCTCTCTTCCCTTCCTTTTACAGTGAAATAATTTATGATTTTTTTTTCTTATTTGGTAACTTTATTTCTCCATCTACATAGCAGATATTTTACAACATGTATCAAATTCTGTAGGGCCATGAAAAGTCATGGAAATTATTAGTGTAATCTGAAGATGATCTTAAAATGCTGTTACATTTATGAAGACTGCTCTCCTAGATTCTCTAACGCCTAAGAGTGAGTGTTGGGTGCTTAAGAGAGATCTCATTCCTTTTTCAGCTCAGTAGTTTCACTAGAGAAGCTTTTAAATCATTTCTTGATATGTAGAAGAAACTCCGTACACCTAGGATTGAATTTTACCTGTTCTGGGCCTCAGGCCAAAGTAATTCTTGGAGTGAAATTCCTTGATTTGGTAACAGAGAGGAATGGAAATGTTTCTGGTCTCTCCTGTGTTACATAAGCCTTGTAATCAGGCAGCCAGCTAGAGGTGCCAACAAAACATCGGCGTGAGACAGGATTGGTCCTTGTTCTCTGTCATAAAGTAAGATCCACTTTGTCTTAAAATAAATAGAAATGAAGAGCAGCATTGGTAGCAGGCAAGGATATTTACAGCTATGCAAAACATTGCACCAGGCATGTAGGCAAAGGGCACGAAGGGTCTCTTATCTTACAGCTCTATTTCGTAATTATCCCCACCCTCATTAGTGAAAAAGGGGTATGTTATCAGGAGAGAGTGTGTTAGTAATTTAGCAAAAGATATAAATACTGATCAGGCTGAAAGGATGGTAAAACAACACTGATCCCCCAAACTACCAGTTTGTCAATACTTCTTTTAAGGACAGAAGTATCTATGAAAACTTGTTCTTTTTTTTTTTTTTTAATTAAAAAAGAGAATGAGAGAGTAAGCAGGGACAAAATTGACCTAGAATTTGCCCTATCCATAATTCTTAGATTGTCGCTGGAGATACTATGTCAAGGATATGAAAGAATGGAAAAAACCAGTTTGGGAACAAGTCTGTATAAGAGCATGTTTGAGAAGTCTTCGTTATACAAATTCAGTGCCAAAGATCCAGCCTCTCTGGAAATGACTCCGCAAACACGCAGCGGTACAAAGAAGGTCCTGTATTGAGCCTAGAGTTAACTTGTCTGCTGGGATTCTTAATTAAAAGTTGTGGTGAGATACTTACATGTATTTTTCGCACAAGTTAAAGGCGTTACGCATGTTTTAACTGGTAATATTGACTCTGGGGAGCCTTATCAGAGAAGAAACTGCACACTCACAGCGTCAGATGTTAAGGACTATGTTGTAGTTTGTCTGCCTTTTACTGAGGATTACTGAGTAATTTTGTCTAATGTTTGGCATTATTTAGCTGTGTTATGAGCTGTATTTTTGGAGTTTAATAAATTTCTGTACATGGCCTGTGTCAAGACACATGTGAAATATAAACATGGGTTATTTTATTTCATAATGACTTCAAAAGAAGAATTTTTTTTAAATGGTATACATTTTAAGATTAGTCTTTTCCAGTAGTGTTGCCAAGACTAAAAGGGATCGTTTTTCTACACTGGATGAGGGATTTGCCATCATTACTGAACCCAGTGAAGCATGGAATCCTCCTTAGCTTAGTACTTACTAGCTAAATTAACGTACTTACTAGCTAAATGAAGTGTGTATGCATACCAAATATTTTAGGTATGATGCCTGTTTTATTTCTTCCCTTCCAGCTCGCTGTCCCCATACTTGCTGGCATTCCTAACGGATTTTTTTTTCCCCCCAAGTATTTTGTCCCTATATAGTTATTTATATTATAAGTATTAATAATTCAGACTTCCTTGGTCTAGGAAATATGATCTACAGTTGCTATTAAAGAGGAAGCTAAGAGGAAAGAGAACTAAGCTGACAGGGTTTGTACTTCAAAGGTCATCCACTACTTTGCCAATATAAATTAAAACAGAAGGTGTATGAGATGCACTAAAGCGCAATTTGCGCAGTAGGATTAGTGTATGTATGAATGGCACACAGAATGGAAGCAGGGAGACCAAGAAAACTGACATCTGTATCAACATCAGTTAAAGTCTACTCTTGTCGTATGTGGAAGATGAGCATTAAATCTAAAATGCCTACCTAAAATTGAAAACATTTGTCACTCTTATTATAAAAAGTGAAATTTTCTTCTCCCTACAATTATCAGATTTATGATTTTCAATCTTACTGGATTTATGTTGGAAGGAGATGACTTTGATACGGTCCTGTTAAAATTATTCTTTTTACTATATGAAAGGAGAAAGAAAAAGAAAAAAAAACAAAAACAAAGCACCACAAAACCCTGAAGGAAGCTAACAGTACATCTCAGTTTAGGCAGTTCTCAAAGATTTCCTTTCCAATAATATTTTCTTGGTTTTGTGCTCATTTTTTTGTGTTTTGCAGAAATATGATGGTAACATCCAGAATTTAGAAGTTAGGGCGCTGTGGTTTTTACTACATAAGAGATTTTTATTGTTTAATAGCACGGTGCCTTTAGATAATGAAAAGTATGACTTTAAGGAATACATTGCCATAGCAGTGTTTACTTGGTGTTTGCATTTGCCGAGCTCTCTGAATGGGTGGGTTTGTACTACTGGATGAGAGGAGCCATGGAGTCTCGGACAGGAGCCCAAAGAAGCAGTGTTGAATTCAGAAGATGAAAGGCTGAGCGCTTTGCATTCTCCTTATTACCTAAGCCTGTCCAGATGAATTTGGAAAGGACACCATGTGAGAGTAATTTAGGTGTCTTTTCCCTTTTTCATTTCACTGGTGATGGTGTTGGTGGAGAAATGGGTTTGTCCGTCCTGTATTCGAACACCTCTTACCATCTCATAGGGATTTCCTCATATATTATGGAAGCACATTATACATGTTACGGCTGTAAGCATCACAGATAATCTTGACTGAGAGGCAAGAGATTTTCTTGTTACCCTGCAGCCAGGACCTCATGATCACTTACATTTTCCAGGCTTTGTGTGCCTGTTGATGCCTTGTTAATTAAAAGTCATTGTGAGATGGTTCCATTGGCTGTGTGTGCAAAATAGAAAAAATGTTTTCTTAATAGACAGGGAAATCTCTGAGTGAAGAGAATATCTTAAGTTTTCTGCTATGAACTCACCTAAGGAGTTAGCTGAACTGACACACCAGATCAAATCAAAATGAGCTGCAGTGGAGTTAAAAATTGCATCACTTCCCATGCCGTTTCACAGTTTTAATATAATAGTCTGGCTTCTACATTGAACTTACTCTTCTCTTTGGTCAAACCAATGCCCATTGTTCTCCAAAGATAGTGTCTGCATTCCAAATATGAAAGATACACAAAGCTGCATTAAAAGGCATTCTGGATTCAATGGAGCATTAACCCACTGTGCACTTTGTTACATAAGCATCTTGCAGAGGAGGTGGATTACCAAACAACCTTACCCTTTGTTATCTTTTCCTGATGAGTAAAATAATACTAAAAATTCTAATTTACATCCTTTGTGATATTGGAGGAATATCGAGTGCAGTAGTCTCATCACTGTAATTGCAACTAGTGAGATTCCTTTAAAAAATAAATACAAATACGGTGGATTTTATGGGTTGGAGTACAGACAGGTATCATGTGATGTAGGAAGTACAGAAACACATAAAAAGATTTAGAATGTTTTTTGCTAGATATCACTTCCTAAAATAGGATTATTACAAAATAGGATTACTCTTGAAGTACGTTGCTTTATTTATTTTTCTGCCATATAAAACTAACCATTTTTTCAAAACTAAGTTTTATGCTTTGATTCTTTTTTTTTCCCCTCCAAATTCTATGTGGAGGAATTAATTCAAATTAGTTTTTGTAAGGTGTCGAACAAATCTAAATAAATGGAACATACTATAATAGAATAAATTAAATAACCTAAATATAGTATTATGGCCATGACTTTTAACCAGATGAGAGAAAGGAATGCACTGTAAAAGATATCAGCGTGCAGAGTCTATTATTTATGTCTTTGTATGCATAGTCCCCAGTTAAGGCTGCTGAGGGGAAGATAATGTCAGCATGATAATCCAAGTCTAAAGTATAATTGTTTTACAGAGTAAATGTATTTAAAATCAGATTTTAAAAATATATTGACCAACTCTACTTAATCAGTTACTGTTGCTTTTTCAACTGAAACCTGGAGCCATGTTCCTGCAGTCAGTTTATGTGTGTGTGTCCACATTTTCACCCCAAAGTGAGTACACAGGGACTGGCCTCCACATGAACTATAATAATAACATAATTAATAAAAGCACAATAAGTAAATAAGGAACAGGTATTCATTGCAGTGAAGGCTTCCTTTGATACAGAGAACAATTTAGTTCAACAGTGGTCTTCCATTATTCAAAAGCTGTCTTTAATTAGGAGCATGTGTTTGTACAGTTAATACAGTAATGCAGATAGAATTAATTTGCAGTTTGAGAAACGTCTGCTTGTAGTCCTTTGATTGCAAGGGCAATCAGAAAGACATTAACACTCAAAGCTGTGTTATTAGTAGAGAAAAACTACAAATAAAGCTTTTTATCCAGAGTTTTTATTATTATACTTTGACCCAATGTTAGCTTTATTTTCTTCTGTATATTACTTTGGTGAAAGTTAGTTTCATTCCCTAATCCAAAATGTTATAAAATCTTTTTCCTGGATAGGGTGAGGGCAGCAGGGAATGGTGAGTAGAATCTGTAAAACTCATCTCCCAAAAGTATCCATGTCTGTGATAAAATGCTTTAAAAACAATTCCTTCCCTGAAGTTCTCTTCACTGTAGGATACCAAAATCCTGAAGTCTGCATTGCAAGCTTGTATTCCTTAACATTGCCAAATTATGTGTGAATATATACTGGATAAAAACATGTAGATGATTTATCTGCAAACAGAACTAGAAAAAGTAACTTTGAAATCAGATTTAAACTTCCGGTATATCATGTTAAATGGTCAACAGAATTTTTAATAGCTGCCATATTGGCAGGCAAATCCTGTATCTCATGGCAGAGTGTCAAGAAAAGCTTACCTCAATTAGCTCAACAACTAGGACATTCCTCCTGAAAGCTGGAACTCTGGGTTTGAACTCCCTCAGGTGAAGGAAGGCATTGAAGCCAGACCTCTGTTCCTGAGCTGCTGTCTGACATCTCCATGTAACGCAGATGTTGTCAAGCACCTCTTACTTTCTTCCGTATGTACTTTCAAAGGAAAGATACTTCTCTTCCATGTCTTAATGGGGTTTTGCCCATTAGCCTAATTTAAACTAATTGTGGGCTGCTACCAGAAGAGGTGTTAACCTTGCCTTCACTCTTGCTGAAGATATAATGCTCATCTAGAGGTAAGGTGAGCTGCATTGCTTTGCTGATCCACCCGAAAAAAGTTTTCATTAGGTTACTTCTAAATGTATCAGGAAGATGCTCCAGCACAGCCTGCTGCCACTGGACAGCATATGGAAGGGGATACGATGCAGGGCAGGAAGGGCAGAGTGCTCCTTTCTGTGGTGAGGTGGGGCTAGAGTTGTAGGTTCAGAGGAAACGAAAGGTGGAACTCCTTACCTCAGGTTCTTACGCATGCAAAAATTTCACAGGGTCACAAGAGAAGAACGGGTAAGTTCTTGGAGAATAAATCCATCGATCCCATTATTAAACACGAAGAGCTGCCCCATTTCCCCGAACGGGCATTTGATTTACAAACTGTTGAAGGCTAGGAAATTATTCTTGGAGAGCTACTGTATATGCTTGCTTTACTTACAATGCTCTTCCCTCAGCATCTTGTGATCTTTTGTATGGACAATAAGCCAGTTTAGATAGACCTTTAATCTAGTAAGGCATCCGTATGTTCTTGCTGCTTAAGTGTTAAGAGGACACTGTGCCCATAGACACCTACTCATAGTTTTTCCCAGGGTGTGTTTACTCAAGGTGGGATGTATTGATCAAATAGTGTGCAGTTTCTGGAAACAACAGCCCACTCCCTCTCAGCACTTCTTTTCTTTCCCGTTCCTTTTCCTGTGTTCTTGCTGCTTTCCTTGCACTACTTCTAGCATTAATCTCACCCTTTGGTGAGTTGATCCAGTCCATTAAAAACAGTAAATAATGTGTTTGGGCAACTGAATCAAGTCTGAAACCTGAAAAGTTGTGTGAAGAGCTACATTTACTCACTGTTACAGCACTCCACAATTCCATTTACTGTATTGGCTCATAAACAGAACGGAGAGCTTAGGCTCCCGGGTCACAGGCTGAACAACCTGCAGGCATGGCCATTTTGGGCAACTCAATCATAGCAATATGTGCTTAAGGAACTTCAGAGCTATGGAAGGGGGAGCAGGTTGGACATCCAGTAGGTGGGGAGAGAAAAAGAGAGGGAAATTGACTTCAAATTTTGGATTTACTGCCTCATTCCTTTCTTGGATGTAACCCTAATAAAACTTAAGGGTCCTAGGTTGTCCAAGAAAGCCTCTGTTTTCAATTGTATATTTTTAGGAAAATGAGATGTACAGGTAACTTGTGGATATTATGTTTATCCCAGCCAGTTTGGTTTGTTTACCATCCTTCTTTTCTGTCTTTTAGTTAATACAAAGTCTTTCACCTTCCTGTGGTAGTATCACTAAACCCCACGTGTTTTCCTCCTTCGCAGTAAAAAACCTTTGATATGCTATCTTCTTCCTCTTTTATTTTCATTATACCCAGTTCTTCCGTTCTGGAACCAACCAATTAAACCTGTGGAGTTTCTTTAACTAGCTCATTCTTCCCCTAGTTTAGTTTCTGCTGTGTTGTTCCTGTCTTTGCAACTCTTTACTGCTTCTTCCAATTTTATTCATTATCTTGTAAATTATTTCTTTTCCACTGCACAAGACTCTGCGCCTACATCTATCCTACTCTTTTTCTCCTTGTTATTATTTTGTATTTTCCTCTAAACTGTCCTCAAAACATTTTTATCCACACCATCTTTGTTGCACAGACCTGTCTAGAGCCCGCTGAACTCAAGGGACATCCCTTTTTTGTAGTTTCTCAGCCCTTTGGTTGAGCCCCCCCCAGTCCAACCCATTGATTTCTCTCCATTTGTTCAAATCCTTTGTTACGTATTCACTTCTTTCATGAAGCCTGTCAGTGAGAATTGGTCTGAGGGAAGTAGATGTACATTAAAATACATTTTCCTCGTTTTGAAGTTTCAACTGTAATCTGTATCTTGTGAACTTATTCAGTGTTTGACATGTGACTGTATGTATTAGATCTTACTTGGAGCAGAGACATTGTTCTTCCAATTTAGGGCTGAGCAAACGGAAGTCTGCAATAGTATTTATAAAGAAATTAAGGTTTGTCATCTTCATAGAAGTTTGGGGTTTTGTTTGTTTTTTTTCCTTTTAATTGTAACAATATTTATTAAAATAACATTTAGAGTAAATAATGCAATGGAAATGTGTTGCCAAGTCCAGACTTTGCAATTAATGTTTACTGAATGAAACCCATTTTTCCTCCTTACAGATGGAAGATTTTTAATAACGGTGTTCTTTGGTGTTGTAAATGAGCATGTTTGTATTTGGCTGTATGGCATGCCCTGCCTTCCAAGTATACCAAGTCAAACTCGAAATGTTTTCTCCTAGGAGAAAATATATGCCATAAAAATTTGTTGTAGCAGATGAGATTGAAAGCTTGCCATGAATGTGAAAAAGAGATTGAGAGGTGAACAGAATATTTAAAGTGTCTGGAATACTGCTGTGGCAAGAGAATGTTAATCTGATGTTGTCTGGGCAGGAGGCAGCCCTTGGAGCCGACACATTCCTTGGGGCCCCGCTGCAAACTGAGCTGCCAGCACAGTGTTTACAGCAAGATGCAGGGCTAGGATGGTCTGTATACATGAACTGTGCCTGCCTGCCATGCAGACAGCGCGTGTCAAATATACCCTTCTCATTAGAAGCAAAGTCAGTGTTGTGTTTAACCTTGACAGTACGGAGCAGGTGGATCACACTGATATATTGGTAAGCACATAGACATAGGAAATGTCCCGTATACCCTGTAACGGTGTTTATATTCACTGTGCTTATTTTAACTCCAAAATGTGACTAATTCATAAGCAACTGAAATGTCAGCATTTGAAGCAGAAATATTTTAAGGTGTTTACTCCAAAGTAAATAAGGCTGTATATATTTTTTAAAAAACATTAACACACGTGTGTATGGACACAGTGTCCATTGTGTTTTAAAGACCACTATTACAACTGAGTACTGTATCCATCATGAAAAGATGGTTTCATCCAAACCTTGTTTGACAGATAGTAGTAGCTAAATTGATGTTGTTCTTGTATCATGATTTCACGGAATATAACAGCATGTTATTTGTCTTCCTTTTTTTTTTCTGTTCCCCAGACAGTGGTGGTACCAAAGGGGAAAGACTGAGTGCCAAACTAAAAGCTTTGCCTGGAACAAATGAACCCTATGAAAGTAGAAGCAATAAAGAAATAGGCAAGTGGACATCTTAGGCCTTCTTAACTTTCCTGGCCCTCACAGAGTGGAAAAACAAGGAGAGAGGAAAAAATAAATTATTGGAAGAGCATGTAAAATTAGATAATTAGGGAAACATGTTCCTCATTAAAATGAGATTTTAGCTTCATTGTTCAGAACTCACTATAAAGTAGTTGTAAATACTAGGAAATGTGGCTCATTTACTTTCATATTACTTTTGATATCTGTCTTCTGCATCTTTTAAATCAGTTTCTGTGAGTCTGCAGTAGTAAGATGTTCAATAAGATTGAGTTTTCAAAGGGGTTTAAAAACTCAACTCCATGTGGAATGTGGTACTTCCTAAAAAGCCGTTCTTTAAACAAGTAATCTGTCTTGCTGTTCCTTGCACTTTTCCAAAGTCTTTTTCTCATTGTTATATAATAAAGAGAAATTTATTAAAAAAAAAGGAAGGGGAAAAAAAGGCTTCTATCACTAGCACTCAGGAACTTCGCTCTAGTGCCCTTCATCAGTTCCTAAATGCAATATTTTGTTCTCCTTTAGTGTTCATATGCTCTTTCTGGTCTGCATTTCAAAGACACCTTACAGATGTGCAGTGCTAAAACCAAATCTTGTGTTTGATTTTGTATGTTTGAAACAAAGCTAAAATTACTTGCAGGTAACCATTTCAAATGTATTTATTTAAATCCCAGATGCCTCCTACGTAGATCCACTTGGCCCACAAGCAGAAAGACCAAGAACAGCAGCAAGAAAAAGAACTGAGGAAGATGACTTTGCTGATGAAGAACTAGGAGAAGATCTGCTTCCAGAATAGCATATGGGCCACTCAACATTTTTTTTTAATCCCTGTAAAAGTTTTAGCTGAAAAACTTTCATTCATTATGATTTTGTAGTAGATTTTGATAAATTATTTGGGAAATATTTTGGATATATGGTACCTTACATTAAAAACCTGTACTTGAAATTGCGGTGTCTTTTATAATTGATTTTTTAAAAATAATGCTTATTTTACTCATGCATAAAATCTACACAGGTACTAAAACTCATTGCAAACTATATCAAATGCATGAAGCTTTTCCTTTCAGAGATAGATATGATGATCATATGAAACACAGAAGCCTGTAAAATTTCACCTTTCAGTGCGAAATACCTCAAAGCAGTGCTTACAAGGTTGAAAATGCCATATCCTTCATCCAAAGCCAGAATTTATTTAAGGCCTGTGAACTGACTTTCTGAAAATGTTGGATGTGACCTTGGTCTTCCTTTAAGGCCCCAGTTCAGCAAAGCACTTAACACTGATACCAAGGAAAGCATCTTAATTTTGGTCTATGCTTAGCTGAACTAGGGCCATTTTGCAGTCTCTTGACAACCTCCTTATTGGTCAGAGTTGGCAGTCTAGTTTGTTCAGAATTCCTAAGTAGATTGCAGCTTTTGAATCTTATGTTGGAGACTGTGGCACTGACTACACAGTGGTAGCTTTCTACAGCCCAGGCTGAGTATGGGCAAAAATGTTAGTTGCAGAAATCCTCATTTTGTTTATGAACTGAACAAGTCTGACCTGAAGTTACTGAGACACGTTAAATTCCTGATTTAAATCACTTTTGGGTGATAAAAATACTAGTTGGGTGTTCAGAATTTCCTAATAAATACTTGAAAAACTAGTCCACTGAGGTGGCTTGTTTTTAGAACATTAGCATGAGTTTGGTTTAATAGTTAGAGTTTGGTTATTGTACTTTGAAATGCAAGGATTCAGTCTTCTAAAATTTCCAACTCTGGTGTTTCCAGTGCTTGGGTGTTGGTGCTCAGTTTCCCAGCTAGTGACACTGGAGAGCTCTCTTCATATCTTCACGAAAGGTTCCTTCCATGTTTTAAAAACATCTGCCTAGCCTCATAGTGTGTCTCTACAAGTGGTCAGGAATGTTATCCTGTGGGGTTTATGGTACAGCTAATGAGCTACTTCGTATGTACCTGCTTCCCATGGTACTGGTGCAGAGCTCGGCCTAGGACTGCACCAGCTTCCTCCTGGTGGGATGAGCAGAACATATGCAGAGTGGCTTATGAACATCCCGAGGAGCTCATCAAAGGAGAGACACACAAAAAGCTATGGGGTCTGATCCTTCTAAGGGATGGAAAACAATGCAAGAAGGATGTGGACGGCACCTGTCTTACTTCTCCAAGTCTTCTTGCCTGCTCCCCAGTCCTGCTGTATCCATTGCTCTGGTCATGGAATGACATATTCCTGGATGTCATAGTAGTTCTTTTCTGTCAGGCTTAGTCTTGGAAGACCTGGACCCCCAGGATGCAATGTGCCAGGCAGGAGGGAGCATTTTCAGCTACAGACAGCAGTGGTATGAGATACCTGACTTAATCACAGTGAGAGGAAATACTTGGGACCATGGCAGGGAGCATAAATGAACCTGTGAAACAGTGCAAAAGAGAAGACAGGCAAGATACTGTCATGCCGTTCTAACACAAAAACATTTGCGTAGAGCATCTAATCAAACATTGCAATCACACAGACATGTTCATGATGAAGTGGTAGGAATTACTAATGACTTGGGATATGGTTCACAACTTAGTGAGTGTAGAAACACTCCTGTGGACATCAGAGAGATTTTGACCAGCAGCAGTTTCTTGGTTCAGTTTGTCCTAAGTAACTGTACATTATGTAAAATCCTGTGCATTACAAGGAATTGCACTTTTGTTCCAGTCCTGCACAAACTCACAGGCACTTCTGGAACATATTGTTTCCTACAGCATGAGGATCTGATTATATAATGCTCTGGGTTATAATGTATTTGCATGTTATTTTGTAAGCACAGTTGAGCTCGTTCTGAACTGACAGAAAGCCATGTGATCCAGCTCCAACGCCAGAATAATCAGTCCCACTGACAAAGTGATGTAGCCCAGGTTCATCTACTTCAAAACCATGTTAACTGTGGTTACGTCTCTACTGGAATCGCAGTGTTGCCAGGGCAAGCCCAGAGCAGAGGAGCTGATGTGTAACCGTCTGTACTGTAAGGCCAGTAGCACAGGGGTGCACAGGAGTACAGTTTTGTACCATGACAAATGATCTCCCACGCAATTGCCTTGCATCATCCAAAGGTGAGCCTGGGCCAGGAAGCATTCTTTGTAAGCAGTTTCAGTGCAACATCCTTCTTCTTTGGTGCGAGACGTTCTGTGTGAGGGAACACAAGATGTGACATCCCAGCTGGACCCAAGGCTGAAGAGTGATCCCTAATGGGGACTAATACACTGGAATCTGTAGAGAAAGAAGCTGCAGGCATGTCCAAAGTGCTGTGTCAGCGTGTTGTTGGAAGGCCTCAAGCTGTCAGGAGGTGAACACACCTGCAAGATTCAGACAGCTCAGGTCTCGAAGGAAGCACGGCCAGGCCAGTGGGGTGTTGTGTCTAAAATGATTACCTGTGTTATATGGGATTATTGTGCTATGTTGATGTGATCACACTGCCCCTGTCCTGAAGATTGGTTGGCATTTAGCTCAGGTGCAATGAGTTACATTCCCTGCTGCCATGTAGGATGCCCTTAGTCTTGTGATAAGTCTCAGAAACCACAGGAGTGGAAGCACTGAATGAGCTAAATAATTCTACCTTCATCCCAGAAATTCAAACAGAAACATTTCCTCAGGTTTGATTGAAAAAACAGACTCCATCTCCAGAAGCCACACTGTGGGCATGTACTTCCAGCAATATTTAAACCCCAATTTTGTGTTTATATTCTGAAATCAGTAGATCAATCATTTAAAATTCCTGAATAAAGTTTTAGCAAATGCAATAGGACTGCTATTATGTTAATTTATTCTTTTATATTAGAAGAGTAGCAGTATTAAACCTAGGAAATTGCTAATCCTCTTGAGGAACTGACTCGTGAGCTATTTTAGCTTGTATTATCATGAAAAATGTATTGGTCCCAATATTAAACAATCCTCAGTTGACCTCTCAGACTTGAGATCTTCCTCAGGATTTGCTGGATTTAGTTACATACAAAGTTGCCTTTCTCTTTCATCATGGCTAGGCTTCACGAACCAAGATTTAGGAAGGCTCTATCCACATTTGATATAAGCACGCTGGTGGCTAATGAGGCCAATACGAGATAGACATATCCAATTGCAAATGGCACACCAGAAAGACTCCTTAGGTGATAGCACAGCAGAAAGACTCCTTAGGTGGTAAATACAAAGTTGCCTTTCTCTTTACATGTATGAAAAATGTACAGTAGCCAAATATAAATGATTACTTGGGTAGTCGTTTATTTATTTATTTCTAAACAAACCTAATCCCACAGTATCAAAGTATTCTTGATCATATATTTCATGTTTTACTTTGAACATTCTTCATTACAGATTGCATAATTCATTACTTTTAAAAGAAAGCTATTCTAGAGTAACATGGGAATTAAAAGCTGTACAAAAAAAAAGATATATAGTTCATAGAATCACGGAATGCTTTTGGCTAAAAGAGCACTTAAAGATCATCTAGTTCTAACCCCCCATGTGTAGAGGGGACACCTTTCACTAGACCAGGTTGCTTCAAGCCGCATCCAACCTGACCTTGAACACTTCCAGGAATGGGGCATCCACAGCTTCTCTGGGCAACCTGTTCCAGTGTTTCATCACGCTCACAGTGAAGAATGTCTTCCTAGTATCTAATCTAAACCTACTCTCTTTCAGTTTAGAGCCATTCCCCCTTGTCCTGTCAGTACAGGCCCTTGTAAGTCCCACTCCAGCTTTCTAGTAGGCCCATTTATGTACGAGAAGGCTACTCTAAGATCTCCCTGGAGCCTTCTCTTTTTCAGGCTGAACAACCCCAACTCTCAGCCTGTTTTCCAGCCCTCTGTTCATCTTCATGGCTTCCTCTGGAATTGCTTTAACAGGTCAATGCAGGGCACCCCAGAACTGGATGCAGCACTCCAAGTGGGGTCTCACAAGGGCAGAGTAGAGGGGCAGAATCCCCTCCCTTAACCTGCTGGCCACACTGCTTTTGGTGCAGCCCAGAATACAATTGGCTTTCTGGGCTGCAAATGCACACTGCTTGGTTACATTGAGCTTCTCAACCAACACCCCCAAGTCCTTCTCCTCAGGGCTCTCAATCCATTGTCCACCTAGCCTGTATTTGTGTTTAGAATTGCCAATAAATAGATTTGCAGGTATTATGAGGAAGTGCTGTTTCTCATCTTGGTTCCTTTACTAGCATAGTCTGAGACTGTAAGAAATTAATTTAATTTGCTAGGCTTTGATTGTTCTTGATGTCAAAGGCATCTTTTTGGTAGAAAGCTATTTTTAACTTGTTTGCTCCTCGGTTTCCACCTTTGCAAAATGAAGTCCATTGAGGATTCTTCACTTTGCAAGAATTTCACTTTTGCAATGCTGAATTGCCTAACAACTGTAAATCTCAATGCTGAGATCCTGCTGTAGAAGATGCTATGCCGTGGAAGCTGCAAAGTGGTATTACAATCCTTACAAGTGCAGGGAAGATGAATGGGAACAGAACAATTTGGGTGACAGGTTATCTGCAAACAGAATGTGAAGGAGAAGGGTATCTTTGGGGAATAATTTAATTCTCTGTCTGAAGATTTATACCTACTGGTGATGGCATCTGAATGTTTGGTCCACCCACAATACAAGTTGTTCAACTTTAAGGTCTATATGATGATTTTTTAAATGTTTTTCAGATCATTATTTCAGATAGAGGCAGGATCTCATTAATGTACACACTGCTGTAGCAGGATGGGGATAAACATTTGGAATATGCCAGTTTAGGGCAGTTCTGCCATTGCTGTGACAAGCACATTATGTGGTATCATTAATAATGCTTGTCATAATAATGTGATTTATTTATATGTGAGCCAAAGTATCTGGAATCAGCTATCATGCAAGGAAGACAACAATCCCAACCAAGAAAAAGTCCTGACAAGGTTGCTCGTTGCTCGTTAATGTGTCTGGGACAA